TTAGGCATAAAGGTACTTTGAATAACTTAACTTAGTAGCTTAGGTCATAAAGGTTACTTCTGAATGACTGACTTATAAGACTTGGCATAAAGGTCTTTGTAATGACTGACTTATAGCTTGGCATAAAGGTCTTTTGAATGACTGACTTATAGCTTGGCATAAAGGTCTTTTGAATGACTGACTTATAGCTTGGCATAAAGGTTCTTTTGAATGACTGACTTATAGCTTGGCATAAAAGTTCTTTTAAATGACTTACTTATAGCTTGGCATAAAGGTTCTTTTGAATGAATAATAACTATGCTGTAAATATAAATTTTGGAATAAGAGGTTTGAAACGGTTGTGAAACTTAATGATTTGTTTAGTTTTAAGTCAAATCTTTCTGTACTTATCGTTTCATTAAACGCAGCAAGTTGTAACATTAAACTGGCTTTCAACTCCACTTTTCAGATAGCAGACACTAGTTTTAGGCCAGAATTATATATTATTTATTACTTGTAGCTTAAGTTTTTGAACATTTTGCGTTTTATTGATATGCAAATTGCTGAGTGATATAGTGATTGAAATTAACAGTTTAATCTTATGGTTCAGTCAACAAAATAATCTTTAATTTACAAATCTGATGTTCTTACAAATGTTATTTTTTTAGAAGTGTGGTTTTCATGATGTATAAACATAGCCACTGTGAATAAGTAATAACTTGACATTTCCAATAATTTTCGTGTTCTTTTTCAGGGCACGGACATATGGATGGCCACATGCATGTTGTTTGTCTTTGCTACTTTGATGGAGTTTGTTGTCGTGAAGTTTCTAGACAAACGGCGCCAGCTCTATTTTCGTGGCCAAGTGAAGAACTCACTTTTCAATACTCCTGAATCTGGACTAGGATCCTTGGTAAAGTATTATTGCGTTTCAAATCTTAGGAGAGTTTGAAAGTCAATGACTTAACTGCAGATGCTTTTTTTTTCATTTGTTTGTTTTAGAGCAAAGCCACATTAGGCTACCTGCTGTGTTCATCACGAGGAATCGAACCCCGTACTTTAGTGTCGCAAGTCCGTAGACTTACTGCTGTCCCAGCGGGGAAATTATTTGCCCATTTACTAGTCATTGTAGTCATTGTAAATTTCTTTAAACATATTGTTCTTCCAAATAAGAGTTCAAGACTCGAACTCATTTGTTAAATATTGATTTAATTGCTTAATCCTATGGATAGGGATTTTTTTGTTTGTTTGTTTTTGCTGATAAATTGCTAGATCTGAAAACATTAAAAGTTTCTGGATTTATTTAGATAAATATTGTTTGATATGATTGATTTTGGTTCATCGAAAAATAATTTTATTGTTGGTAACTCTCTGTAACTTTTAGAAATGTTACATACTGTCTTAATTAGCAAAACAACAATGATAACTAATTCCAGGATGTCAACATATAATTCCAGTCAAAAATAAAAATTTATCCTTTTTCGCGAGTAATCAATTATTTGTTACCAATAGCAACCATCGATCTGTTAATTTTTATTTGGTCTAGTCCGATGAATAGCGGTATGTGACACGTCACGTTATCACAAAGGACAATAATATATTATTAAACATCCTGTAATTTTACCGTTCTTAGCATAGTAATCAAACAGTTTCTGCAGTTCTGCGTGGAACTTGACATTTCACGTATAATAGACCAACAGAACATAGATGACAATAACAAATGTGCGAAAACATTTAAAAATACTTTCATAATGATTAATGTTAGAAAATATATCAACGATAGAATAAAAAAATCGATTATTTCAACATCTATGAAGTTTACGACACTTTTTCTTGAAATTTTGAAAATACTCGGTATATAAAAGTTATTGTAGATAAAGATATATTTAATACCCTCAATTATACATCTTTAGAATACGGAAACAATAGTCTACAACAGCTGTTGAAAACTTTCTGTGCCAACAGTTATTTAAGCTTCATTACTCGGTATGCAGCTTTTATATAGGTGTAATTCTTACAAATAAATGACATAAAGACTTGAAAAATACAGGAAAAAAATATCTCGAACTTTGCCAGTTTTGGCAGTGTTCAAACGACGTGAAGTACTAAGCGATGTATTAAAAAAAAAGAATTATCCCACGTATAAGCTAAACATTGAGTTTTAGAACATGTAAACAAATAAAAAAGAAATAAAAAGTCATCGGTGGGTCAGTGGTAAGTTTACGGACTTACAATGTTAAAGTCCAAGATTCTATTTCCTGTGGTGGACAGAGTGCAGATAGTCTATTGTGAAGCTTTGCTCTAAAACAACAGCAGAAATATAACGATTGATAATTAAACAGAAAAAAAATTAAAACTCTAAATGATCAGACCTCTTTTTAATTTTTTTTTATTTGCTAAGTTGCTAAACAACTGTTTACCAAGATCACTCGAGAAAGTAATGTTTATTCCTAGGACATCAAACGAGGTTTATCACACATTCTCGTCGGAAGATATAGAAACCACTTCACCTATACGTTAAAAATCCATCCACACGTGTTTGAAAATCAACTTATTAGCATATTTTGACCTTATCAGAATATATCTAATTGATTAATTTCAAAGTGAGGAATTCCACAATAAGTACCTGTTTTTGTATTTTGATTTGTCGTTTTCCCTTTTAACATTTTTTTTTATAGAAATATCCTCAAATTCTAAATACTACATTCTAAGTAAGCATTAAACAAATATACTTACACATCTTTTTTTGTCTTTGTAAAGGAAATGCTGCAATATTTATTAATGAACATTTATTACAACCTTTTACTTGATCTTATATATATTGCGAACCGTGGTGTCTATCCGAACGTTCGTCTGTCTCCCGTTTGAAAAGCTGCGCACGCAGGCAAAGCTCAGCATTCACTTTTGAAATGACGGGAGAATGGGCATGAATAATGTTGATGCCAAATTTTATTTCGCAAGCAGGATATTCTACATTAAATTGCTGGAAATTAAGCACACTATTATTCACATTTCAAAATGTGACGTAACTTAAAGAATAAAAATGTAGATTTACCCTATGTTATTGTTGAGTGGCTTTTAGCATGGCAGAATTTCTCAACAATTACTTTTCGCGATTGGGCGGTATAAGTAACTCAGAGCTTTGGCTTTGAATTAAATCAAGAGTGCAACACAATTAACCTTTGTAAAGTCCATCAAACCGTTGTAAATTTAAATTGATAGATTAACTTAAACTTTTGGGGTCACTGGGGACGAGTACTTTTGCTTGTTACTACATAATTCCAACTTATCACCAAGTAGGGAAAGCACTTTTCCTTTTGATCTACTTTTCACTATCGGAACATGCATATTTGAAATTTATTAAGAAAACTATTCAAAACCCACTTTAATTTCCTGGATTACGGACTCTTAGAGTCATTTTAGTATAACCTGTAAGTTATCAAAGTCTGTCGTGTTGTAAGATATATATATATATACAGAGAGAGTAACAAATACAAAATCTAAGATTTCTATTACTATTTTGCTAACTTGATATCTGTTGTTGCAATGCCAACTCTTTTTATTGATGAAAAATCTACCAATACAATTGCTATATATATCGTCATTAGGAGTTTTAAAAAGATAGAAGCCTATTCTTAAACGAGTTTGGGTGACACTCTGACTTGAGCAGCCGTGATACCAAATTGATGACTCAATACCGTCTAATTATCATACGTTGTAACTTTCTAATATACTGATTTACGATATTATGTATTTCTAGTGAGTATATTATACAGGGTTATCTTTACTAACTTATTTGAAAATTACTTCTTTTCAATTATCTTAGTTCTGATCTACACACCTAGCTAACTAACTTTTCATTTGAAAATCTTAATTATTATTCTATGCTATTGCTGGAAACAAGTGTTTGATAATTATTCAGGTTTCGTTAGATCTACAAGCTGGAGAAGAAAGACGAATCTCACCGATAGATGCCGCCCCACGTTTAGCGTGGAACATGGCGTCTCAGCAAGATACTCACAGGTGGTTCAAACCACCATCTTGGTCGATGGATTGGGTGGTTGTTATTGATCATGCTTCTCGGCTGTTATTTCCTTTGGCTTTCTTGGTGTTCAACACTTTCTATTGGCCTATTCTATTAAACAGACAACTATGAAGAGAATAAAAACATGCCCAGCATTCTTTAAATGTTCAAAGAAAGAATTTCGCCTTGTTCATAAACGTTCCACACATCGCATCGGGTTTTGTTAAATTCTGTATGAAGTAGTAATCATTGTAGGCCGCATCCGTATTGATTTATTTTGCGAAATATTAACTGAATATCGATGTATTCACTGAATGTTCTAAATGCAAGAACACTTGTAATGAGAATATCTTGTTATATAAATGAAGAAACACTTATTATGGGATTTAATGACAACATTATTTATCTGAAACCTAGTAAAAACACATAATGCAATCGAAAGTTTACGAAATATTTATGTTATAAGATTAATCTTAGATTGAGAAATATAGATTTGTAATATTAACAAAATACCTTTACACTACTACTTTACAACATTATTTGTCGTAAAGGGCAAAAAAGTATTATTCTCTCAATACTAACAACGAAATGTAAAACTAATATACTGAAATGGAGTATATGAGTGAAAATAATTGCCGAGAACCTACATAAGGATATTATCACTGCAGTAAAAGTAGTATTAAAAACGGTATACTTTTAACAAGCAAGTTACCGTAAAACTTAGATATTACAAGCAGAAAAAAATAACAAGTATATGAAATGTAATAAATACTAAATTCTCCTCAAAAAAAAAAGAAAAAAAAACATGGCAGAGATATGTTGTCAATCAAATATTCGTAGGAGAAACTACTAGAAACTGGATTTTGACGTTTTTTCAAAGTTTTAATTAAATTAAATATATATGTCTAGTTGCTCTCAGTGTTTTTGTCGACGACTAAATGACAATGAAGCTAATGAGAAAAAGCAATTTGATGTTTTCACTCCCTGGAATCTTTTCAGTGGCCCCAGGGTAAGTCTGTTGACTCATAACGCTGGAAACCGGGTTTCTATACCCGTAGTGTAGTTTGAGGTTTAACTACGGTTAAAAAGTCCAACAGGAGCTACAGTAGCGAATGTGGAACTAATTTTAGTGAATAATATTTTTTCTATGAGAAACTATTTCATTCGTTCAAAAATCTAAGACGCTTAGGCTTAAGATCAATAGTTTTTGTAAATATATTTATTACAAATAACCGGATATTTTATTATGTTAAAACTTAATGTAAAGTTAACCTTCCAAATACGGTACGGACAACAACACATTTAGTTTATTCCGAAGAACTAGAGAAAATTATAATGTCGCATTGAAAATGTCTTTTGTTATGGTTTGAAGCAAAGAAAGAAGATTATAACATTTAACCACGAATGCCAATAACGCAAAGTAATACACAGTTATGGGAGACGTGCTGACAAAAGGAAACTTTCCCTAATAATTCGATACAACAAGAGACGTGGAATGTTTTAAGTTCTATAAGGTGTGTAAAGAATTACTTTGAATAAAAATGTATTGATGTATTTACGATACAGTTGGTCACTTACGGAAGATTTCAAACACGACGTCGAATGCAAATAATTTCGCTTTTTCTGTTACATTATTGACTACAGGAAAGCAAAGTTTCATTCTCAAGTTGTATTGACTATCTTTAACTTTTATATGACTACCGCAAAGTATTCATAATCTATAGATCTATATCCCGTCCCACCAAACATGCTCGCCCTTTCAGCCGTGGGGGCGTTATAAAGTGACTGTCAATCCCACTATTCGTTGGTAAAAGAGTAGCCCAAGAGCTGGCGGTGGGTGGTGATGACTAACTGCCTTCCCTCTAGTCTTACTCTGCTAAATTAGGGACGGCTAGCGCAGATAGCCCTCGTGTAGCTTTGCGCGAAATTAAAAACAAACTATAGATCTATTTTTCGCTACACTTATATTATCCTATACAAGTGAAATTTAATCCAAAGAGATTATGTATTTATATACAGTTTTAGCTATTTGACTTCGACGTGACTCACGAAAGACGTTTCACTTGCAAGAAAAGTAAAATACTTACCAGAGATAGTCTTTCAGTTAATTCTGTATTCAAACTTGTTTTTTTTTTATGAAATCGTCTATTCTAACATATACTTAATGAAATCTTTACCACCATTTAAAATATATCCGTAAATTTTGGGGTGTAGGTTTTCATTGGTTTATCGTAATATTCCTCTTTCTTTGTTAAAACGTTGTTAAATTATTGTTCAAATGCACCATATGAATATTTAAGTTAATTGGGTAAGCATCAATTCGAACAAATGGACTAAAGAAAACGACTGAAGTGATCTTTAGTGTTTGTCCAGGCAGTATGTGTCTCCAAAAAATAAATCGAAAAACATCGAACCCAATGACCTTGGCAGTAGTTTCCGAACTAAACTCAAAATGTATATGTGTTTTTTGCTGTTTCTGTTTTCAATTCTTTTTAGAGCTCACGGTAATCCTTAAGCCTTTGATCATTGAGAGTTCATTCCTGAACCCATTACGTTAACTTAAATATTTCTTTACTAGAGATAAAATCTTTTGCAGGACAATCAAGATATGTTTACAGCTGTCTACAAGTAAAGTGATATCTGTAAAAAAGTATACATAGCTAACAAAGAAATGCACATACATGCATCATTAAAAAAGTAATTTAATATTCTAAACAGTTGACAAGCTTTATGTTGAATATGGCCACCAGAGGGCTCACTCTGCTAAGAAAAATGTAAACTAAAACTTTATTGCCATTTCAAATTGATTTTCACTATACATTACTTTTTTTTTCTCAGATAGTATATAGTTATCAGTAACCACTTGCTAGTTTTCTCCGTGATAGTGAAATTTAACAAGCCTCTCAACGCACAGCGTCTGCTTTTCTCAACTAGACAACACCGAGTTCTGATACATATATTATTAATAACATTTTCCCAAGCTGTTATCCTACTGACTAAGATAAATTAGGATACTTTATGCGGAAACACAAAGACGTTTTCCAGGGATTTTTCTTTAGTTTTTTTTTTTTTTGTTTTTTTTGTTTGTTGTTGTTGTTGTCAATTATAGCAGAAGTTTGTTAGAAGAAGTACTCGTTTTAAATTCAGAAAATAGGTGTGATGAAGAACTGCCGTTTCTTACTAACACAGACCTGCGAATTTAAACTTCACAAAAGTTGTTTTGGTTTTAATAACGGATTTTCTATAATTCAGATTTCGAAAATAAAATTTTTTTCTATCACGTAATGATTTTTTTTTACAAATCGAGAAGGAAATAAAAACTCTTACTTAAACCAAATTTACAACAAACTTGCCACAAATATAGCAGAATATGTTTGGGTCATTTACTCAACCTCTTGTTGCCACAGCGACGAAAATAATAATATTGAAAATCAAAAAATAATGCCAAAGTGCACGCACAAACAAATAGTATACAGAAATGACACGTCACGCGGTCTGTTAACTATTTATATACTAGCGGTGTGTTTTTCGTGGGTTCTAGAACGATCTATAAGACTCTCACGTCGCGATTGGTCTAGAGAAGTCTATAGCTAGTGGTTGTCAACATTTTAGGCATAATAAAATTTGATCCGATTTCAATGAAAATGATTCACTTATGTAAAAGTACATATGACATTTTGTAAAAAATCTGTACATGATGGAGAAAAATGGATATCATTTTCGGATTCAGCGTGCAGAAATTACTGTAGAACATGTAAAAATGTCAAGATAATAAAACCATCGCAGGCCTGTGTAATCGGCGTGGAAGCCATTGCTTTTTTAAAACTAAGGTCGACAGAAGAAGTTTGGTCAACTCTCTATTTCAACTGACGCTGAAAAACGTAAGTTGTGGTGATAACTCCAATGATATTTCTTTTGAAAGTATAAATAAAACTAGAAAACAGATCATTAATTACTAATTCACAATGTTCTTAAACCGCACTTATTGTATTTAGTTAATACAACAAATATTTAAATTTAATGTTTTGACTATTTTTTTTTTGCGCCAATACTATTCGTTTTTTACACTTGTTATAAAAAGTAGTTGTTTGAAAATTTAGAAAAGTCATTGAGAACATAAAATTGTTGTTGGAAACTGACTTACGCAATTTTATTAACATGACATTTTAAGTATAAGAAAATATTTTGTGGAAGAGAGTGTATTTTACATGAAGTTGGGTTATATGTGAAAGTTTTGTAGTAATTCGTACGCTTTAGAGTTAAAGGAAACATTTTGCCTTGTTTGTTTGTTTTTAATTATGCACAAAGCTACACAAGGGCTATCTGTGCTCTGCCCACCACGGGCATCGAAACCCGGTTTCTAGCGTTGTAAGTCGACAGACATTCTGCTGTGCCACTGGGGGGGGGGCACATTTTGCCTTTTCACGAGATTTCTCAAAATATTCAAGCAAATTTTTATCGAGACATCAGGAAAATGACGTTTTCAGACTTCAGATCTATTGTAATAGGTTAAAATAAATAGAATATGTAGTTTGATGACGAACAGTAAACTAAGGGATATGGCAACTTCGGTAAATATTATATGTGGATTCACTGATTCCAACTGGAACGAAATCTATACAAAACGATTCGTCGAACAGAAAAAGGTTTGTTCTGGGTGCCTTTATGGTGCCAAATCTATTCACTCAAGTCTCTGTTGAAGAATCAATTGGTCCTGGTATCCCAAGTTGATCTACATTTGTTTTATTTTTCAATGTCATTAAATACATTGATATCCCCGTCTTGAACATTCTAAATCCCAGATCTGAACACACCTTTATGATCTGATTGTATCGATGTTTTGCGTTTTAATGCCATCACACAACCAAACAATATGGAAATTTAGTTCTGATACATGCTGTTCCACTGCGAATTTATATCGGCTGTTGTTTTAACATGACTTGCTGACTGCATGCATATTGAAAACCTTTTTAAACATAATTTAATAAACCCTATAGTAATAAGTTAGAATTTCGAACCTGAATAGCACTTTATGCGCACGTATGTTAAATGGCCAGGTCAGAAAACCTAGGATTCAAGTGTAGCTATCCCTACTTTTGAATTACTATCTAGAGAGGAAGCAACCAGTCAAGAGCAATAGTTTTTGTTCGGAAACCCAATAATAAGATTGACAGCCGCTTTTATAATGCGCCCACATTTGAAAGCGCAGTGTGTGTTCAGCTACATCAAGCCTCAAATTTCGGACCTATCAATCCACAGCCCGACAACCTAACCACTAGGCCACGCCCCTTACATAGTAATACTACAGATTTTATATAGAAACTGTTGTCACTCAGGAAAACCCGGGTTTTTACATATTTACTTAAAATGGTATCACAAAAGTTTGGAAAATTATTCAGTCAATAAATAATATCACTTGCAATGTTTCTGTCATTCAGCAAAACTTCAAACTAACGACTTGAGTTAATGTATCATCAAAACGTACCAATTTGTAAGTGTGTGTCTCAAATATTCATATTCATATGCTCTTCCAACTACAGTGAAGTAGCCAAGCCAATAAACTTTCGAAATTTAGTCTATTGCGCAAAAATATCTAATCACAACACGAGTAAAATATTTTCGGTACGACAGTAATATAACACATGTTTTACACATCCATAGAACAAACTTGGGTTCGACTCGAATCTAATCGGAACGACCAGTGGCTGGTTTGACCCTACTTTAGTCGTATAATGTGTAATACATACTCTTTGTTTATATTCTTTAAATAACCATTCAAACGCTTTCACAAAATATGAAAATTATTTTGTATGATGTAATATGATACATACTTATTGACGACCTTAATCAAGGACGTCTTCGATTAACTGACTGTTTTAAAAATAACAAACGAAAGTCTAGGAAATATCCTCATCTTTCGTCACAAATACTGTATCATATATTCAATGCACAAGGTTAGATCATACATACACTGAAACTGTTGGAGCCAATGCAATCAATGCTAAAATGGTTAATTCTTTCGTAACGTTTTGCTTTGTGATCACAGATTTCATTCTTCATCAATTACTCATCCCCGACTTACCTTGATACAGAAGGCGTAATCAAAAATTAATATTTCCTTCAAAAAGAAGTAATCAGACGAACTTTGCTCACACTTAACGAACGATCTCTTCAAACAGAAAATGGCACTTATATTAAAATTAGTTCATGCTAGAGTCACATGCAGAAATCATAATTAGAGTATAGCCCAGTAATGAAGAACCATAGATAAAATGTGCATTAAAACCAAATAATGGAATTGAAACACCAAAGGATATTCTGTAAAAATAATTTTTACATAAGTATAAAAATAGTGCTAAATAAAATAAAATGCTACAAGTTTCACAGAGAAAATGGAAAACGAGAAATACAGATCACCTAGAAAATATAGATAATATATTATGTGTGTGTATATATTTAATCTGTAAAGATAAAAAGTAACAGTGGAATATTAGATCACTAAATGTATTACATTGGAAAGTTATTTTTGATCTCATCGAAATGTGATGAAATTCTTAAGTATTCAAAATAGTAATACTTGCCTGAGAAAAACGGTAGATGGCGACATATGTATCCCTTGGTAACGTTACATAGGTCTGTTTTCAGTAGCTTAAGACCAGGAACGTACAATTCGCACAGAACTTTCGACGAGTTGATCTCATTATTCCGAATCCAGAATCCACCACCTGGTGCTCTATATTTAATTAAACTCTGAATTATTTCAAGTGTGTGATTGTTCTTTACCACTGCAAGCATCGACCCATATTTTCCACAAGACAGAGCTGCTGCTTCATACGTCATATTTACGTCCCAAAAAGTATAACACAAATGATTCCCTACAGTATACCAGTCTGTACATTCTGACAAAAAAATCAGAAAGAAAACAGATAATGTGATGATACTTGTAGTAATAATTCAATAAAGATATAGGTTACTAAGCAATTTACCGAATAGAACCTCATCATAAAAAATACTATCATTGCCACAATTTGGGTTTAAAATGTATTTAAAAGGGAAGTAAATCCTAAAAAGTACACAACTCTTAACAAATTCATTTTTTTTCGTTATACAAACACAAATTCAGAGTGGAATACATTAAACAGCGTGTAACGGCAAAATAAAAAACAACAACAACAAATAGAGTCATAATAAAATATCAAATATGAATAATTAATTTTGAAAGATATAATTGTAATACTTTTGTAACACAATTCAGTCATATTACGTACTTATGAATAGCAAAAAAACAAATTCTGTGGTTACAAATAATCAAATGTCGCATTAAAACCATCTGCTGTTTTCAGCATGTGTATATTTACTACTACATCTGTTTATTTGTTAAAAAAACTGTCTGGTTCATAGATAATATCTCTGTTCAACAAGGAAAGAAAAGCTCTGTTGTTATTTATCCTCTTAATGTCTGTCTGTATATGTTTGTTATCCTGTTAATCATTTATTTAATATTTCATATAACCGATGTTTGCTTGCCCAGTATTTTTCTGTATGTCCAACCATTTCCCTGTCTTCTGACTACTTCAGCCACCTTCATGTCATTCTGTATGTCTAACATATCTACTCTTTCTTTTTATGTTTAACAATTTTCTGTCGTTCCAACCATTTTTTTGTCCTTCCATATGTCCAGCCATTTGTTCAGACATTTATTTGTGTTTCTATAAGTTCAACCATTTGTCTATCATTCTGTTCGTCCAGCTATTCGTCAGTGCTTCTGTAGTCAACAATTTAAGTGTTCTTCTATATGTCCAGCAACTTAATTATCTGTTTTTCTATGTCTGACCATTTTTTTGCTTTATAAGTTCAACCTTTCACTGACCTTCGATATGCCCAACTGTTTTATATCAGTTCAATTTGCTATCTTTCTATCAGTCCAACCTTATCCCTATCCTTCTGTGTCGAGCCATATATCTATCTTTCTGCCTTTTTGTCTCTATTATTCATTGTTTGCCACTTCACTTCTCTTTTACTGACCGCTTATTCATTACCAGATCTATTTAATGATTTTTTCCCTTCGTTTTTTCGTCTTTTTTATTATTTTATATTTCCGTCCATTTGAGTCCACGTATAGTATACTCTTCGAAAAACAAACAAATGTATATAACATTAAATTATACATTTAAATTTAACACGGGTATGGACAAAAAAAAAAGATGAATGGCTTTCAGTGCTTTCAAATCAATACAGCGACATATCATGAGGTTACTAAATAAAACGAAATCCTCTCTTGTATTCATACAGACGTGCACTACCTTAGGATAGAAATTGGTTGAAAAGAAATAGGCTTAACTTCGTTACATTTATACAAAAATGTTTCAGCTTAATATTGACTTTTTGAAACTCTACGTGTAAATGTATTTTTAACTCATTTTTTTCTTCTTTACTATACTATGAAGGAATTTATTAGTAATTTACATACTGAGGTTATTAGTGTGAATAAAAAGAATTAGCGGTCCCATTTTTATTTTAAACACGTATCCTTCAGTTTTAAGAACGTGTTTTTCTAAACCTTCAGTGTGAAAGACAAACCATTCTTCTAATAAGTGATGGATGATTTGGTATACAAGTGTTTACTAATGGCTACTGAGATTACTAATAGATATAATACGTTTTCTAAAATCGTCCGTTTATCCTATATTAGTGTACACAGGTAAAATATTTGATTCATCACAATTAACTTGTTTAAAATCCCATGTATTTAGTGATTCATTAGAGTAACCTCCCCCCAAAAAAAACAAAATATTATGTATTCTCATGGCTGACTCCACACAATTGATAAGAAAAAAATTAGAGAAGTCTACTAACATTCGATCACTTTCTTTAAGTATAAATAATTATTTTTTGCACGGTTTCGATATTCATTTCACTGTCATAATAGTTATGAGTTAGTTCTCTGTTGAAACTTTAACAGCGGGTTTTGTCAAATTTCACCATTTCTATTGTTTATGTTTCATAAAAAACATTATAAAATCCTGATGATTTCGAACTATCTTAGCTGTTTAAACGAAACCTTAACAGTCTTAACTTAATCTATAAAATACTCGCAATTTGATATTTGATTTAGTTCTAGCAACATTAATAAACAAGCGTATTTTAAGCAATGTGTGTATAAACAAGGGTTACTAGTATCGGCTTCCACGTGTAGTTAGTGTTTCAAATCGTCCGTTTTACAATGAAAGAAATACAATAGAATAATTATCAACTTACATTATCTTCTCCCGAAGCCTCAGCATGGACTTTATATATTCACATGACAGTACAGTAAAATATATAATATCGAAGACAAAATTGTGATGGCTGACATTCTTACCTTGCGAATTATTTACAGACCTTTCACAAATGGCGTGGTAGAAGGAAGAACAAGTTATATCCCCAATATAGAGATTAAATCTTGTTGATATTCGAGCACAGCTGAGCTCAGTATGGTCATTTGGTTGCTTTTCACCCCAGAGCATGAAATCAGAAGAGAGGGTAGAAGAATCACTAAAAACCCAGTTTCCGTCTTTATCGAGCTGTGCAATAATTAAAAAAAAATATTATAATACTGAGACATTCAATATTAGGAACGTGAGGTATTGTATTTGATATTCCCAATGATTTTTTAATCGTTCAGTTTTCCATTGATTACTAATCCGAACAGAACTTATTTGTAAAGCTGATTCCTCTCAATGCAACCAAGATTTAGTTATAATAAAAAGTATAGAACTAAAATTTTATACAACATACTCCAATAAAGTTAGTCCGTTTTAACTTTTGTACAAAGTCAACCTGACCCACCTGTTTCTGTTTGTTTTTACTGCAAAATCGTTTACATTAATGCAAAACATAAAAACAAAATAACTATTTGTTTGTAATTAAGCACAAAGCTACACAATGGGCTATCTGTGCTCTGCCCACAACGGGTATCGAAACCCGATTCTAGCGTTGTAAATCCGTAGACACACCGCTGTACCACTGGGGGGCAAAACAAAATAAACTAGAGGTGAACTCATTAGACCGCATACCTTCGCCACTCAGCGTTGATCATATTCGTCTCTCAAAAAATACGAAAATGTGTCCGTACGTCCGCGTTATCAACAAAAACGAGCCATTTTTTGCAGGACAATGAGGAATAATATTCTACATAAGTCCACCAAGTTTCATCAAAATACGATCATTTATGACAGAGTTATAGAGCAAAATTTAGTGTGAAAAATTGGTCCCCATGTTAACAGATAGAGATTTTTCTTTATTTAATGTCCTTGCTGTGACCTTGACCCTCCAAACACTAATAACTTCTAAGTTGGGTCTCATAGTCTAAATGTATACCAACTTTTGTTCAAATCCATTCAGCCGTTTTTGAGAAATCTTGCTGACAAACAAACATACACACTTGCACACAGGGGTGAAAACATAACCTCCGTGGTGGAAACAATCAGCGCGTTGTGATGCAGACTTTTAAAACAAAAAATCATTTTCTGACAGATTATATTCTTAAAACAGAAATGAGTGCTTTCAATAACAATTCATTACAAATCAAAACTTTAGTCCAGGAAAATAAATGAGTGCTATATTGCGAACTAACCTCACGTAGGCCAATCCAATAGTCTGTGAAGTAAGAACGCTTAAGTTGGGATTGCAAAAAATTCTGTTCTTCTTCGTTCGAGAGATCAATCGTGGCAAGTTGAGCTCCATCTGACTTGCAGACTTCTGCAGCTACTGACCAGGAGAGCAATTCTGTAGTTACAACCTTGTAGCAAAACCCGTTCTTGTAGATGTAGTCTCGGGCACAAATACTATTTGCCTGGGTTACTATACAGATGGAGAGAAGAAAAAAAAACTTTCACTCTGTGTCTGTAGATTATAGTGACAAATATTTGCATACTTGCGTTTGTTAAAATGGAACTGAAAAAGAAAAAAAAAACGATTACAAGTTCTGTTACCTGAGCAACATATTTTGTTTTGTTTTGCCATATCCACTGCGGGTACCGAACCCTGAATTTTAGAGTCATAAGTAGCCACATCTTACTGAAACAATAAACAGTGTAGAATTTAATGAAAAACAGCCCATGATGTAAGTCTTAGAACTTATTATTAGTAGGCCAATCATGTCAATATGGAGCTTTTCTGGAGTGTAAATCATAATCCTCAATGAGGCTTCCTGTCCCTTTATTTATAATCTACAAGGTTTTCTCTTAAATAAAAGATTAAGTATATAAGAGATCACATTATTATATTAGAGAACGAACTGATTAATCCCAGGAATGTAAAATATTACTATGGCAGTACCTTTACAATAGTGTACTTATTGTTATATTTCCAACGTTCAATAAGGCGGCCAAGGACTTATAATTTGTCTTTATAATCAGGCCATACCATCCACTGTTGAATTTAGAATTACTGAAGGTAGTCATGTCTGCGAAATTTCTTGATACTACTTACGACACTAGCTTAAAGTGGGCCAAGTATGTCAAAT